GCGGTATTCAGATGAATTTCATTTGGTAAGGGGCATATTAGGGGGAAAAAAAACATTTGCCACACCAATATACCAGCTGCAGACTGAACCACTGGCAAACACACATAACAGAATGAGACCATTGATCCATATTTTGTCCAGTCTTCTGTCATCGGCTTTTAGTGATCCCATGTCCACTGTAGGCTGCAGGTTTTATCTGAACCCAGTGTGGCCATCTTCTTCAAGGATCAACATATTGTGCATACAGAGATACCATTCTGCACATCACTGTTGTTTTTAGGAACGTAAAGTGGTTGTAAACCTCAGACTTAAAATATGAAAAAGCACATCCTTCTATATGTGTACTTGTCTCCATCCAAAGCAGTGTGACCTCTCTCTGCTGCCTCATTCCTCTGTTATCTGCACATGTAATTTCTGACAGCTTTTAACAACTCCAAGAGATAATTGGTGATGGAGGAGGGAAATCCACCACTCAGCCTGTGATTGACAGCCACAGCTGTATGTGTTACCTGTGTACTGTGTGAAAGGGGGTTTGTCCTTTCGCTCCAATTAGGGCACAGAGTAGGGTTGCCACCTTGTCCCTTTAAAACCAAACACATGTTAATTACACAAGTTCTGGGGCTATTTTAATGCAGATAAGGCACTAAGTGAGTTTAATTATCCACCTGAATCAGCCACAGAACCTTACACAGGGATGGGGTGGCAACCCTAGCTCAGAGCATTCCTCACTGAGCTCTGCTGAATATGAGACTTCACATCCCTGCTTTTCATAGTTGGGAGATGCTGTGTAAAATGTGTGTTTTGGAAGGCTGTAGAGAACAGAGGACTAGAGCTAAATAGGTACAACTTATGCGGGTGGCTCTGTTTCATCTTTGTGTATCACCTGAGGCCAGTCACTTCACTGGTGTTCTAAAAAAAATTACCTTCCATAGCTTTCAGCCTCCTTCAGATCTCCAGATTTCTTTTCTTTTTCTTGCTGCTGTGATCCTGTTAGGCGGGTGGATATATTTATTCTCCATGGTCTCACTGTGTGTTGGAATGTAACCATCCTCTCTGGTTCAATCTTGAGATAGATTAGAGGCTATGGGATTTGTAGTGTGCATAGAGCAGAGCACATGACCAGCTAACAACATGGCAACTAACCTGCACTGCTCATTCCAAACAGAAGTGGAAAAGGAGAGGTTTGGGAGCTCACAGTGGGCAATTCAATGAGGCAGAAAAACATAGTAAGAAACAAATTCATGAAAACAAACTTACAGGACCATAAAGTAGTGGATGTGTTTGAATTGTTTTTGGAGATTAAGGATATTGTTTAGTGCTGCTTTAAACAAGCCTAGACCTCTTACCGTGCTTTAATTGTTTTTTTTTTTTTTGCATTATCCTCTGCAAACCTTTGACATTACAGTCCATGAATGTTCCAGGAGGGCTGCAGTTTCTGAGATGCCACAATCATCACATCTGGCACCAATAATAATTCCATGGTCAATGTCACTTAGATCATGTGTCATCCCCATACTGAGTGATGAAACCACACATGAAGCTACTGACTGTCTGTGTATCTTACATTCTGAGTTGTAGGCAGTTGATTTGCTGTTTGTCTATTTGCAATAAAGCGGTTTTAAACCCAAAAGCAAGCATTTGTTATATTGCAGCTTATCAGTTCTTGGATCTGCTGGCGGCATTATTCTTTTTCTTTCTTTCCTTTTTTCATAGTTACATAGTTAGTCTGGCTGAAAAAAGACAAACGTCCATCCAGTTCAACAATTAACCACCACCCTACCGGGCACTTATACCACCTTTGTGCCCAGGCCAATTTTCAGCTTTCAGCGCTGTCGCATTTTGAATAAAAATTGCGCAGTCATGCAACACTGCACCCATATGAAATTTTTATCTTTTTTTTTGTACAAATAGAGCTTTGTTTTGGTGGTATGTACTCGCCGCTGGGTGTTTTTATTTTTTGCTCTATAAACAAAAAAAGAGCAAACATTTTGAAAAAAAAAAGTTTTTTCTTTGTTTCTATTATAAAAGGTTGCAAACAGGTAATGTTTCTCCTTCATTGATGTGCGTTGATGAGGCTGCACTGATGGGCACTGATAGGCACTGATAGGCAGCACTGATAGGCGGCACTGATGATGTGGCATGGATAGGCAGCACTGATGGGCACTGATAGGCACCACTGACAGGCGGCACTGATAGGCAGAACTGATTAGCTGGCACTGATGAGGCAGCACTGATATGCAACAATGATGGGCACTGATAGGTGGCACTGATGGGCACTGATAGGCGGCACTGATGAGCACTGATGGGTGGCACTGACTGATGGCACTGACTGATGGCACTGACTGGCGCCACTGCTGGTCACTGACTGGAGTCAATGCTGGGCACTGCTGGGTGGCACTGCTGGGCGGCACTGATGGGTGGCACTGCTGGGCACTGACTGGGGTCACTGCTGGGCACTGCTGGGTGGCACTGCTGGGCAACGCTGATGGGCGGCACTGATGGATGGCACTGCTGGGCACAAGTGGGTGGCACTACTAGGCACTGGCGGGTGGCACTGCTGGGCACTTGTGGGCAGCACTGCTGAGCACAGGTGGGTGGCACTGCTGGGCACTGATCATCAGTGCCCTGATGATTGGTACTGATCCGTCCTCGGACAATTGCCGGTTATCGGCAGTACTTTCCTCACGTTGTGACAGTGTGAGGAAAGTGCAGCTGATAACCGGCAACTGCATTTACCAGTGATCTGCTGTGTCATTGGACACGACTGATCACGTGGTAAAAGGCCACTGCGATTGGCCTTTTACCACATCATGTGATCAGCTGTGTCCGTAGGACACAGCGATCACTGAGATCGCCAGGTGCGCGCCCCCGTGAGAGTGCGGGAGGGCGCATTCTGTGAAGACGTCATATGACACGCTCCCAGAACTGGCCGGCCGCGGTGAAGCCATCATTTGGCTATCTGCGGTCAGCAAGTGGCTAAAAAAAAAAAGTTATAATCCTATACCCACAGTTGATCCAGAGGAAGATCCTGCCAGTAAGTCTATTGTGTTTTATTAGAATAAGCTGTCCTGTAGATGTAGCAGTTAGAGGATTGAAACAAACCAATTAAGGCCTGGTTCACAACAATGCCTTTTTTAGTCCTTTTTGCAGAAATGCTCTACATTTAAGATGGTTTCCTATGGGACATGTTCACATCTATGCCTTTTTAAGCTGCTGTGCTTTTGGAAAGGGTCGGGGACTTTTGAAACACATGTGGTGTGTTTTTTGCCACATTTTGTGTTTTGCATTTTTTTTCTGCCCAGTAACAAAAAAATGTCCACTTTAAGAAAAAAAAAAACTTAAACTGCAGCAAAAATGCAGGTGTAAAAATGCAAAGTACAATGCAAAAAGCATTAAAAAAAATGATCAAAAGCAAAAAGCACAGGTGTGAACCAAACCTAACACTGACAGGGTTGCTTACAACAATCAGTTATTACGCATTTATGTAAAACCTTTCCCAAAAGAAACAAAACTGTTGTTGTGACTGCTTAATAAAAGTTAGCTAGAGTTCAGCTTACATTTGTTAGTGCATCTAAATCTGCTAGTATATCTAAAACTCCCTTCCCCCCAGACTAACAGTTCTGCTGTTCAAAGGTGTCTCTGTTGTTCCTTTATTCACAGTGGGGACACTCTAATACAGGGAGTGTGTTACTGGCCAGATCACCAGGTGAAAATAGGGGGGGGGGGGGAGAAAGAAAACGAAGGCAGCCACCATATCTAATGAGTGGTAAAGTGCAATATATTACATTTTAGTTTTTTATTTAATAAAACTTTAAGAAGCAGATGTAACTAATAAAATACCAACTGAGAGTCAACATACACACATATATAGACGTGGAGAACAATGTTTATGCAAAGTTCTTTATTTTTTTATTATGTAATATTATTATATTTATTTTTAGAGGAGGGTTATATTTACCATGGGACACACCTGGATTTGTGCTTAACAAGAGTGAGAGGAGGTAGCACCAGGGCAAAGAATTAACAGATACAGGAAGCGAGAGAGAAAGTGCGAGAGCGTGTTTTTGCTTCATCAAAGATCAAGACACTTGTGGGAATGAAAGCTGTAATGAAAGGGGATTATCTGAAGAGGAGTCACAAGTTTCTATGTAGTATACGTGGCAAGCTCTTCCTTCTCTCCTAGCTATATTGTTTATATATGTTAAGCTCTGTACATAAGTCACCGGTCACACTGCTACGATTTAAATTCACGCAATTTGTGTGCAACTTCAGGTGCAAATTCTGAAGACTTTATTATTTTTTAGTCCTTTTTGCAGAAATGTACTACAGTCCATTCAACATGGTTTCCTATGGGGCATGTTCACATCTATGCATTTTAAGCTGCTGTGTTTTTGGAAAGGGTCAAGAACTTTTTTAAAAAGCAAAAAGCAGTGTTTTTGCTACAATAGAGTTCAATTAAAAAGTTTCTGAAACGCATGTAGTGCGTTTTTTGCTGCACTTTAGCAAAGAAAAAGCTGAAAAAAAAATGCAAAACGCGGCAAAAACGTGTGTGTGTCTGTTTGCTTCATCAAAGATCAAGACACTTGTGGGAATGAAAGCTGTAATGAAAGGGGATTATCTGAAGAGGAGTCACAAGTTTCTATATAGTGGCAAGCTCTTCCTTCTTTCCTAGCTACAGTATATTGTTGAAGCAGAGTTCCTGTCGAACTATGAAAAATTAAAAGTCAGCAGCTATAAAAACTGTAGCTGCTGACTTTTAAAAAACAGCCACTCACCTGTCCCAGGATCCCGCAGTGTCCTTCCCTCAGCCCATTTCACCGTCCGTGTGGTATTCCAGGCGCCAGCATCTTCAGTGTGGGCACCCGGCTGTGACAGCTTGCTGCTTCACAGCCGGGTGCCCACTGTGCATGCGCAAGTCACGCTGCGCTCCTGAATGGTCCATAGTCTTCTGGGACCTGTCATCACATGTCCCGGAAGACTATGGGGGGGGGGGAAGGAGGACAACTTCCGCTTCAGATCGCCTAGACATCGCAGCAGAAGTGGGGCATGTACCTGTCAATCTCAGGTACCCGCTTCCCAAAGTTACCAATCCTTAATGGGGAGCGGGGGACCAGTCTTTAAAATCGCTCGATTTGTGTGCAATTTTGGCACGATTTCAGGTGCTATTTCTGAAGACTTTATTTCTACTTGTGAAGATTTAAAATTTTCTTGCAATTTGCAGTGCGATTTCCATTATATTCTATGTATGTGAAATCGTAACAAAACTGCAGAAAAAGTAATGTGAGAACTATTTTAGAAATTGCGCTCCAGTAAATCACACATATTAAGACACTGACATTCACATTCATTAGATGCGATTTCAGCGGTGATTTCAATTGCAAATTGCACCAGTGTGACTGGGCACTAACACCTCGGTCACATCAAGCCCGACTTTGAAATCCTGCGACTTACAGTGAAGTCGCATGATTTCAAAGTCGGGGGACATGCCGATTTCGGGTGTGATTTGCAAGACATCTGCTACAGATATCTATGCAAATCGCACCAAAAGTAGTGCATATACTACTTTAGAAATTGGTGCGGCTCTGACCAAGTTGGAACCGCACCGATATGACCGCTGTAATTGTGGACAATAGGGTGCAACTTGTCAAACGATTTTCAAGTCACATAACAATAAAAGTCGCACAATTTCAGGTGCTATTTCTGAAGACTTTATTTTTACTTGTGAAGATTTTAAATGTTCTTGCAATTTTCAGTGCGATTTCCATTATATTCTATGTATGTGAAATCTTAACAAAACTGCAGAAAAAGTAATGCTAGAACTATTTTAGAAATTGCGCTCCAGTAAATCACACATGTTAAGACACTGACATTCACATTCATTAGATGCGATTTCAGGTACAATTTCAATTTGCAAATTGCACAAGTGTGACCAGGCACTAACACCCTAGCCACTTCAAGCCCGACTTTGAAATCGTGCGACTTACAGTGAAGTCGCACGATTTCAAAATCAGGGTACATGTCATTTTCAGGTGTGATTTGCAAGACATCTGCTACAGATGTCTATGCAAATCGCACCAAAAGTAGTACATGTACCACTTTAGAAATCGGTGTGGCTCCGACCAAGTCAAAACCGCATTGATATGACCGCTGTAATTGTGGACAATAGGGTGCGACTTGTCATACAATTTTCAAGTCGCATAACAGTGAACTTGCATGATTTCAGGTGCTATTTCTGAAGATTTTATTTTTACTTGTGAAGATTTTAAATTTTTCTTGCAATTTGCAGTGCGATTTCCATTATATTCTATGCATTTGAAATCTTAACAAAACTGCAGAAAAAGTAATGTGAGAACTATTTAAGAAATTGCGCTCCAGTAAATTGCACATATTAAGACACTGACATTCACATTCATTAGATGCGATTTCAGGTGCAATTTCAATTTGCAAATCACACTGGGCACTAACACCCTGATCACATCAAGCCCGACTTTGAAATCGTGCGACTTACAGTGAAGTCGCAAGATTTCAAAGTCGGGAGACATGCCGATTTCAGGTGTGATTTTCAAGACATCTGACACAGATATCTATGCAAATTGCACCAAAAGTAGTACATGTACCACTTTAGAAATTGGTGCAGCTCTGACCAAGTTGGAACCGCACCTATAGGACCGCTGTCATTGTGGACAATAGGGTGCGACATGGCATACGATTTTCAAGTCACATAACAGTGAAGTCGCGCGATTTCAAAGTCGGGGGACATGCCGATTTCAGGTGAGATTTGCAAGACATCTGAAACAGATGTCTATGCAAATTGCACCAAAAGTAGTACACGTACCACTTTAGAAATTGGTGCAGCTCTGACCAAGTCGGAACCGCACCTATAGGATCGTTGTAATTGTGGACAATAGAGTGCAACTTGGCATACAATTTTCAAGTCACATAACAGTGAAGTCGCACGATTTCAAAGTCGGGGGACATGCCGATTTCAGGTGTGATTTGCAAAACATCTGAAACAGATGTCTATGCAAATTGCACCAAAAGTAGTACATCAACTATTTTAGAAATCGGTGCGGCTCCAACCAAGTTAAAACAGCACCAATATGACCGCTGTAATTGTGGACAATAGGGAGCGACATATCATACGATTTTCAAGTTGCATAACATGTAAATCACATGCCAAGTCGCACCTGATGTGACTGGGGTGTAAAGCAGATTGTGGAACATTTCAAAGTAAGTAATCTAGTATCTATATTTTTCATTCAGTAGTAAACACTTCAAATAGTTGATAAAAGCAGGAATGCAAGAAAGCCTTCATCACACTCCTGTGCGCAGCATGTGTGTACCATCAAATATGGGATAAATGATCCGCTCTAACAAAGATGAATATATTTGATAAGAATACATTTTTTGATTTGATATGTAAAAGACATAGTAGCACAAGTCTCTATGTCAGATTTAGAGTAGTGAAAGTAAAATGGGTTCCAATAATAACAGTGAGCATGCTGATATTGCTCATTATAAATGAACATGCTGAAAATGATGCAGCACTGGTGCTCTGTTGATAATCAGGGCCTACGTGCATTCTTAAAAATAGCTTGCCTCTTGTGTGGCACAAGAAGCCAAATGTTGATGAGCAGTTCCAGGTGTACAAATGTCTGCCTCATCCAAATGAAAGGTCATGGCAACAGTTGCTAGTATCAGATTCCTGACAGTCTCTGCCATGTGATGTGTGATTGTTTTGGAGTGATGTGCTGCTGATCTCATGCATCCAGTTAGCAATACTGGCAGGACAAGTAGTGTTTTTTTATTCTGCTTTTTTTATTTATTTATGTTAGGATGTATTGCTTCCTAAAGGCTGCTGTATATATAATGATGTAAAATGACAGGCAAGTCAGCTAGCTAAAGAAGAGCAAACTTCTGCCACCAGGGTAATAGGTTCCTGCAATTCTGTTTGCATACTTTCAATTCCTTCCTTTTCTCTGTTCAATTCCTTTTTTTTTTAATTCTGTTTTAAGGGCTAGTTCACACTATAGAAACACAGTCTGGATGCGGTCGGGATGTGTTTTTGCATGACGTTTTTGGCGCATTCCAGTGCATTTTTTATGCATCCAAGTTCATTAGTACAGTTCAGTAGTACATGTACTACTTTAGAAACTAGTGCGGTTCCAACCAAGTTGGAACTACACCAATATGATCCTTGTAATTGATGACAATAGGGTGCGATTTGGCATACAATTTTCAAGTCACATAACAGTGAAGTTGCTAGATTTCAAAGTTGGGTTAGATGCCGATTTCATGTGTGATTTGCAAAACATCTGACACAGAAGACTATGCAAATTGCACCAAAAGTAGTACATGTGCCACTTTAGAAATCGGTGCAATGCTGTTTGCATAGTTATTTTTCCCCCTCTCTTTTTTTTTTCTTCGTTCCAGTGCGTTCTGGTGCATTTTAGTGCATTCGGTGCATTTTTTGATGCATTTTACTGCGTTCCAGTACAGTTCTGTGCAGGAAAAATGAGGCCTGTTCTACTCTTTTTTTTTCTGCAACTGGAAATGCAAACACTGATGTGAATTATGACATTGACAACCATATAACCTACTTTCTGTGCGCTTTGGATGCAGAAAAAAGCAACTACAATGCATGTAGTGTAAACTGGCCCTAAAGGGAACTACCCTTCACAAAAAAAAAAAAAAAAAATGTTACCAGGTCATAAAATGTGCAGAACCTCTGCTATGTTGATACTTGTCAATAGCGAGGATGCTTCAAGGGAGCCTAAAAAAAAATAAATTTCCCGTCACTTAAAGTGGAGCTCCACCCAAAAGGGGAAGTTCCACTTTAAGGACTGTTCCCCGCTCCCCATTACAGTAAGGATTGGGGGGCAGGGGGGAGCAGGTACCCGTATTTGACAGGTACTGTCTCCTGCCTAGGCGATCAGAAATGGAAGGTGTCCTCCCTCCCTCCCTTCCTGTAGTCTTTTGGGACACGTGACAGGTCTCAGAAGACTACAGGACCATGCATGAAGCGCAGCGCATGCGCAGTGGGTACCCGGCTGTGAAGCCGCAAGCTATCACAGCCGGGTGCCCACACTGAAGATGACGGCCTTCTGGAATACAGGATGGCCGGTGAATCAGGCTGCGGGAGACACACCACGGGACCGAGGGACAGGTAAGTGGCTGTTTTTTAAAAGTGTCCAAATTAATTTTTTTGAGACAAAAAAAAAATTCTTTTGGTGGTATTTATTCACCACTGTGATTTTTATTTTTTTGGATATAAATGAAAAAGTCCAACATTTTTGACAAAAAAAGTGTTTTTCTTATATAATTTTGCAAATAAATAAATCTCTCTTCATAAATCTCGGGCAAAATGTGTGCAGTTATATTTGGTAAAAAAAAACCCCAAATCAGTTTATATAATTGTTTAAAACTTTTTTTATATTTTTATTTTTTTTTTAAAATATTATTTATGTTTTTTTTTTACATACTGTCACCCTACCAGTACAGTGTCACCATAGTGACACTTTACTACTTGTAGGGGGGTGATGAAGATTTTTTTTTCCTTTTACACTGATTGCTTTTACACCCATAAAGGCTGTAAAAACAGTAATTTCTCCTTCTCTCTGGTTGCATTCCTGCAGCCATTGAGAAAAACTGTGAGAGCTGTGATTGGTCACAGCTTGTCACATGATACAAGGTTGTTGTGAATAGGCTTGTACCATGTGACCTCTGTGATCATTCCCAGATTTCACAAGTAGTAAACAATGATGTCAGGAAGTGACATCTTGTTTACTGCTGTTCATGTAATCACTGATTGGCCAATCAGTGATCACATGAATCAGGACCTCACACAGCGGTTCCGTACAATGATCTGTGTTCTGCTGTGTCCGGTCCCAGGGAGCACGCACAGGCAATGGATGCAGAGGGACATTTAGAAACGTCCATTCGTATTGGTCCGGCCCATACCGATAAACGATCAAACGGGAGCATTGCCAATGCAGAGGGACGCTAAAAGGTAAAGTTCAACCCACTAATACTAGCATTTTCATTGCTCCCTACCACTCCTTTCTCAGTTTCAGCTGCAAATACCTAATGCTTCTGGGTATGGTGAGAGTATGTGACTTCCTGCCATGATGCAGTGCTTGGGCGTACCAGACAATCACCAGGTTTGAACACTGTCCCATGATGATGGAGGCAACATCATCATCTGTGTAAATGCTGACATCATCCAACACCGAGCTTGTATAGGGCATTTTACAGCTGTGATGGAGGAAGGTGCAGCTTATGAGCTTCACGATATAAAGCAAAGAGGTCCAGATGGATGCACTCCAATGATCCACTTTATTGAAAATAAAAGACCAAAAAGACAGGTGGTGCAAAACACAGCAGGGGAAAAGAAAGGTAGACACGTCTCACGCTATTACAAGCACTTATTCATTACCAACTTAGTGCCTTACTTTTTAGACCTATTTTGGGGGACATTTGGGGCGCTGATTCAGAAAATTGCATTGGCTAAACTGTTCTAGCTAGCTCTAGTTTCTTAGATATGGTTGAGTTTAATTTGTATTTTTGCGTACAAGTTAGCAGATATGGTGAGGGTGTTTACATACTTTCAACTGTAATTTTACATTGGAAACATTGGATTCTGAAGTTTAAGTTATTAACTGTTTTATAATTATGATCAATTAGAAGGTGTGTGTATATTGCCACTCATATCTTTTTATTTTCGCAGATCGAGCACTGTAGAGGTTATAGATACTTTTTTATGTGTTTCTTTCATGCTACAAGAGGTAGTACTGCTTGGATCTTGAAGAAGGGGATATGCCCCAAAAGCTTGTCCTGAAAATTGTATGTTAGTGTAAATAATAAAAGTATTACGGACAGTACTCAATTGTTTCATACTACAAGACATAGTACTGCTTGGACCTTGAAGAAGGGGACATACCCCGAAAGCTTGTCCTGTAAATTGTATGTTTGTGTAAATAATAAAAGTATCACGGACAGTACTCAATTGTTTCATACTACAAGATGATTAAATGAAACACTACATTTAAAGATCCTGATTTTTGATGGATGACCAGAGTGAAGAGTGGTATATAGCATTTATGCTGTATCTCACAAACTAGAGCTGATAGGGAAAAATTGGTGCCATTTTTGGAATCAATACAAACCCAGGAACAGATCTAACATTCGAGGTGCCAATATTTGTGCTGGTATTTGTAAATTGTTCATAATCTTATAATAGAATTTATTTCCACTATTAATGAACAAAAGAGTGACCAATTATTTTATATGGAAAATCCATCTCTTTGCCCCTGCTGCCTATAGCTGCATACCTACTACATTTTAGTTGACCAAACAACACACACACAGGCAGTCTAATCTTTGCAGACAAAGCTAACAGAAAGTCACTATGGGACTATACACTAAAACTGAAGAGTGCAAAATCTGGTGCAGCTCTGCATAGAAACCAGTCAGCTTCCAGGTTTTATTACCAAAGCTTAACAGCTTTCTCGATGCCCTATAGCAGATATACTGCTCCAGGGTGGATGGGGTGCATAAAATCATATATATACGTGATTTTGCATTTCCGAGTAGGGAGCGCGCACAAGCCGCACGCACGCCCTACCCGCACCAGCATTTGCAGCAGTGGCTATCAATCACTGGGTCGTAGCCGGTGATTACCCGCCAGCGCCCGGTGATTACCGAGCATCTCCGACAGGGAGGAGGACTGTTTTATTTGCTAACAGTTCTCCTCCCTGTCAGCTCAGCACACTGCTTTGGATGGCTGTGCACACTGACACGGCTCCCTAGTAAAACACTGCCTTCACACAGTTAACCCTTTGATCGCCCCTCATTATTATTATTATACAGTATTTATAAAGCGGCAACAGTTCGCTCAGCGCTGTACATTACAATGGGAGATAGTACATGCAACAGTACAATAACAATACAATGTGATACACGAGGGGTTCGAGGGCCCTGCTCCTTGGAGCTTACAATCTAGGAGGGAGGGGATAGTGGTACAGGAGAAAATAGCTGTGGGGGATGGAGTGGTAGGAAGAGTGGAGGAGGTCGGCAATTAGCAGGGAGTGGGGTCAGGTTCCCTGAAGAGGTGGGTTTTCAGGGTGCACTTTAAGGAGAGGAGAGTAGGTGATAGTCTGATGGATTGGGGTAGGGAGTTCCAGAGGATGAGTGAAACCCTGGAGAAGTCCTGGAGGTGGGCATGGGAGGAGGAGACTAGGGAACTAGAGAGAAGGAGGTCTTGAGGCCCCTCATGTTAATCCCTTCCTGCCCAGTGCCATTAGTACAGTGTTAGTGCTTTTTTTTTAGCACTGATCACTGTATTGGTGTCAATGGGGATGTCAATGACACCAAGTCAGTGGCCCCCAGTGTCGTAATGTCTGCCGCAGTCCCGCAGTACCGCTATACATCGCTGATCGCCTCCATTACTAGTAAAAAAAAAAATTCCAGTAGCTATAACTGTTACGCAAAATTAATTAATTTACACATATTGGGATTTTTTTTTTTAGCAAAGGCATGTAGCAGAATACATTTTGGCCTAAAATTATGACAAAATTAGATTTTTTTTATTTTTTTACTGGACATGTTTAATAGCAAAAAGTAAAAAATATTGCTTTTTTCTCATTGTTGTTTTTTTTTATAGAGCTCAAATACCACCAAAAGAAAGCACAATTCGTGGGAAAAAAGGACGTAAATTTAATTTGGGTGCAGGGTTGCATGACCGCACAATCGTCAGTTAAAGTAAAGCAGCGCCGTAACGCAAAAAATGGCCTGGTCAGGAATGGGGGTAAATCCTCAGGAGGGCAAGTGGTTCATTGAACAATCTGAAGTTAGAAGCTGATTGGCCACCATGCACAGCTGCACCAGATTCTGAGTGCACCAATTTAAGTAAATCTACCCATTTATGTGCTGTGCAGCATACCTTCTTAGATTGTAAGAGCAATGCTATCCTTCTGGCAGTAAGGGCAAGTTTGGGGCTCTAAATAAAGGCACAATTTTGAAACAAATACTGATCAGCACTTCTATAACATTTTGATAAAATCCATCTTTAATAAAAAGTCTTCATAAGAACATTTGTTCTTATATCAGCTTGGATGTGAAAGGAGGTATTGTATGATGAGGTCAAAATAATCAGTACCTCTGTAACATGTTGTTAAAATCCATCTTAAATGATCAGATCAAAATAATTTTCAATAAAATCTTGTAATAAATATTCCACATGAGGTGCAGCAAAAACCATTTTCCATATGTATACAATTCAGACATCATGATGAATTTCACTGCTCCAAAAACAAGCTTATAGATATTCAGAGGAGTTCAAAACAGCCCCAATGGCACCTTTCTGGTGGTAGTTCATTTAAGAAGTACTTGCACCCAATTCAGGCAAGCATTTGCAGCAAGAATCTGTCGCTCTGGCAGGAAGCTGGTAGTAATTAAGACCAACTCTGAGCTTATGTACAGAGCGGGCAGTGGTGCCTTTGCTGCCAAGCTGTCATGTATGTGACAGTTTCCCACACAGTGCTCTATCCCTGGCTTCATTCAGCCACCAGCAGAGAGATACTTTGGCTGAAAGCTAAATGTAAGCAGCACACATCAGTGGGTGGCTATGGATCTGCCCACTCCCATGCAATGTCCAATGAAAAGTGAAACTAGTCTCTGAGTTCCCCATCAGGCTCTGAACACCCCAGTACAAAGCATGCTCCTGTCAGTGTGAGTGGCTTTGGATGGAGAGCGCTGATGAAGGAGTACCCAGTTTGGACGCTCCTTTACCAATGCAGATATGGCCATGCATAAACTGTGCCCAAAGCACAGCAAATGAGTTCCCATGTTTGCAGGATTCAACAAACATAATAGATTCCATTGTTTCAAAACAAAGACATTCAGTCTATGTGCTTACTTGAATGAAATGCAAGAGGCATCTCAGAGTCAAAGTTGTTTCTGGCAACAGTAATCTATATTGCACAATCCCCTTATCAAACATCACTATGTTTTGACTTGACTGGCCCTTTGTCATGCCACAAGTGGAAGTGCAGAGAAAAACTTTATCTAGAGCAGGATTACTAGACACTGCATGCATT